TGCAGGAGGCAGCCCAGTCCTCAGTGTAGCCCAGGAAACCTTGAGGGCCCCCCACACTGAGAACCCCCGACTTCTACACAGTTTCCATCCCAGATGCCTGAAGAAGGGGAGGGGCTTGGGGAGTCCTGCCTTGTCATGCACCATCAATAAAGTATACTGTACCCCCGAAATATGAAGTTGATTACTGTAGAATATTCGACTATTCCCACATCTGTCAGACTAGCCTCTGGTAGTAGTCACATTCTCTGCCTCTAGTGTTGTTGTCTACTTGACTTTCAAAACCACAGCAGCATGTTCCAGTCTTTCACTGTGGTTATGCTTCTGTAACCCTGTCAGCTGCTCCCATGATTCCTGTTTTCACTGATAAATCGTGGGCTGTTTAGGAGGCCTGCGGCCAGACTTGAAGGGAGTCTGCTGAGAGTCGCATTTCTAAACATTTGAGTCGTCCTTTTGAGCTTACTGTCCTTCCAGTTCCTTCCTCAGAATTAAAAAAAAAAAGTTCTTATCTGTAAGAATTTTATCTATAAACTCATATTTTTTCAAGCCCCGCATGTATATTTTGTAGTTGTTGAAATGTAGTGATTATTAGCTGCAACTTCGCTAATTTAGTGAATTGATCAACTCTCTCTCAATTCCCAAAGACAGATTTTTTTAAAGTTATATGCTTTTGTTCTTATTTCATTAAAAAAATTACAAGACAGAAATTTTCAAGACAGTATAAAAAAGATTATATAAAGAATGATGAACATGCAGTTGTCATCTGGACCTTCTCTGTGAATCTTTAGCAGTGTAAAACCTTGCGTGTGTATCAAGCCCACATCACTCAGGGCTTGACTTAGGAAACAATGTGTTTCCACATGGTAATTAAGATCTCATTTGTCAGAGTTGGTCCATGAATGTCTTCTGGACGAATGGTTCTCTAGATAAGTGGGGCTTTATCCTTTAAGTACCATTTTATTGGATACCCTTTCAAAAGTGTATGACAAATAAACCCAAACTTACCTAAATGGGTAATGTTGCTAAAAATAGCCCCGTGGTAAGCATCCAGGTGGTAAGTAGATAGGTGTTCCTTGAAGAATTCTTTCAACTTTGTCGTATGTTTGAAAATTTTGGGGACAGCACGGTGGCTCAGTCGTTAAGCGTCTGCCTTCAGCTCAGGTCATGATCCCAGGGTCCTGGGATCGAGTCCCACATGGGGGTCCTGGGATCAAGTCCCGCCTCCTCCAGTACTGAACACTCCATGGTGGCTGGGCTGGCCACTGCCCCCATGACTGTTATCTTCTATTGCCTTCTGCTCCAACCACTGGCCCACTCAGAATCACTAGGAGTGCTACTCTCCTTGATCATTGGCTTGAATGACAGTTTGAGGCTACTTTGAGACTTAATTTTGAATGACATGGGAATTTTTCCCCAAATCAAGTCCATCTTTATGTTGTCCACTTTCTCAGCCTTCGCAAGTAAAATACCAGGAACGTGATTTAACGCTTCCTCGGTAAAGCCCAACCCCATCCCAGACCTCAGTGGTGGCACTCTGGTGTTGGTGCCCTGTCGGCGGGGCCCTGCACTCTCCTGCTCCTGAATTCTGCTGGCAACCCCGCCTCAGGAGAGTGCAGGTCTCCTCGTTTGTGCTGGTGCTGCTTTCAGCTGGCGGCTCTGCTTTCTCTCTCCCCTCCTCTCCACCCTTCTGTTCACGACCAATGCCCTTCACCTCTACCCAGGGCAGAAATAAATCCTACCAGGGTAGGTCAGGCAGTATTACAAATAAATGACGTCCCCTGTATAGGGACCTCACAAATGGGAAGGATGCCCCTCTTGTACAGAACTGAGTGCTTTAGGGCTCTGTCCTCTGCCCCTCTCGGGTTTGACCTTTTAATGGTTTTTAGCATATTCACAGGTTTTTTGCAATCATCATGACTAAGAACATTTCATCACCCCAAAAGAAACCTCATACCCATTAGCAGTCACTCCCCATTCTCCCCCACCCTCAGCCCTTGGCAACCACTAATCTATTTTCCGTCACTATGGATGTATCTCTTCTGGGCATTTCTACAAATGCATTTATATAATATGTGGCATTTGGGGGCCGCCTACTTGGAGTTAGCATGTTTCCACCTTAGTTGTACATGTAATGATACTTCATTCCTTTTTATGGCTGAATAATCCTCCATTATATAGACATACCAGATTTTGTCTATTCATCCATCTGTTGATGCACATTGAGGTGGTTTCTACCTTTTAGCTATTATTATGTCATGAATATCTGTGTACAAGTGTTTGTGTGAATATATTTTTACTTTTGTGTGTATACGTAGCACTGGACTTACTGGGTCTTATGGTAACTCTGTATTTAACTTTCTGAAGAACTGCCAAACTGATTTACAAAGCGGCTGTACCAATTATACATACATCTCACCGGCAACATAGGAAGGCTCCAGTTTCACCCCATCTTCGCCTGTGCATGTCATTATTTGTCATCGTGATGAAAGCCATTCTGGTGGGTGTGAAATGCTATCCCATTGGGGTTTGGGTTTGCATTTCCCTAAGGACTAATGATGTTGAGCACTTTTATATATGCTTACTGGCCATTTGTAGATCATTTCTGGAAAAATGTCTATTTAAGTCCTTTACCTATTTTTTAATTGGGTTGTTTTTTTGTTGAGTTTAAGCATTCTTTATGTATTCTGGATACAGGCCCCTTATCAGATACATGATTTGCAAATAAACTCTCCCATTCTTTGAGTGGTCTTTTTTACTTCTGTGACGGTGGCCTTTGAAGCACAACCGTTTTTGATTTGTTGGAGTCCAGCTTACCTGTTTTTTCTTACGTCACTTGCACTTTCAGATCTATTTGATGTCCTCAGTGACTTATCTGAAAATCCGATTTGCTCACTGGATATATAACTGCATTATTGTTAGTTTTCCTGATTTGGAATCATGAAGCACTTGGTTTAAGATGTCTGCCAATAATATACAGAGGCTCTTAGAAATGTTGATACTCGTTGGGCTGGTAAATCCATTTCTGTGCATTTAGCCTCAGGAAATAATTGGATAGAAGAAATACATCCTATATGCCCAGAGGTCATTTCACTGTCACCTGTGCAGTGGGACCCTGGAAGCCTCTTCAATAGCAGAGGAGGGTGATTATGTTCATAAGTGCGACATTATGAGGCAGCTATTGAATATTATCATTATGAAGCTTATTTAATGAAAATGTTTATATTGGAATCTTCAATAAAAAAACAAAACACAAGTATGTGCCCACTATGACTAAAATATGTATAAGATATTTGAAGATATTTGGACTAGGAGGAAGGGTACACAAAATTATAGGTAGTTTTGTGTTCTTCCATTTCATTTAATATTGATACTTTATCTTTGCAATTAAAATATAAGTAAAAAAAGTGTGCCTAACATTTCAGATGAGTGAGAAAAAAGGTGATGAGTGGTGAAGTCTGGTGTGTTTATCCTTGTCCCACCCCAACTGTTTTTGTGATAGGAATTATTTTTTATCACCATGAGCATCAAGGTGAGACTTGCAAACAGAAAAATAGTTTCTGTGTGTAATTAAGAACTTGAATAGAGGGCGCCTGGGTGGCTCAGTCGTTAAGCGTCTGCCTTCGGCTCAGGTCATGATCCCAGGGTCCTGGGATCGAGCCCCACGTCGGGCTCCCTGCTCAGCGGGAAGCCTGCTTCTCCCTCTCCCACTCCCCCTGCTTGTGTTCCCTCTTGCTGTGTCTCTTTCTGTCAAATAAATAAATAAAATCTTTTAATATTTTAGTCATTATTAGCATTACAATTTGCTAAAAGAAAGGTAATGATAATTATGGTGATATTATGTTAATAATGGGGGCCACAGAAACTCTTTTCTCATGGCATCTCATGGAAGAATATGTTTTACATGTAAATAAACCAATCACCCCAGTGTTGTTTTTTTTTTAAAGATTTTATTTATTTATTCGTGAGAGACAGAAGGAGAGAGAGAGGGAGGGAGAGAGAGAGAGAAGCAGAGGGAGAAGCAGGCTCCCAAGGAGCAGGGAGCCCGATGTGGGGCTCGATCCCAGGACCCTGGGATCATGACCTGAGCCGAAGGCAGACGCTTAACCATCTGAGCCACCCAGGCGCCCAATCACCCCAGTGTTTGAAATAAATTTCAAACGGATCAAAGATTTTACTTTTTTTTTTTTTTTTTTTTTTAAGGAATAATAAAGGCACCAAAGGAAATAAAAAGATCAGCACAATATAAGGTCATGTGTAGAATGCCACCTGGGGTGAGGCCACAGGTTGAAGTGCTGCACCAGAGAGGGAGTGTACAGCTTTGCTCTACCACAGCCTGGGTCTCTGGGTCCCCTGTGCCTCTGACCTGGGGCGCCGCCTGAGGGACAGTGGTCCAGGGTCTAGCCAGTAACTCTAAGGCCGTCCCTCCTCCGTGCGGGGAATGGGTGTGGTAGGGCAGCGGGCAGGGAAAGGCTGCTGAGGGAGGCCCAGCTCCGGTGCCCACCCCCCCCCCCCCCCACCGCTGCACACACTGCAGCTGACTTTGGCCTCTGGGCCTGACTTGGGTGAGGCAGAGGCGGTGTCTTGTTCTCATATGTGGGAAGGCTATGAAAAGAAAAACCCTTGTTGGCCTAAACATTTAAACAAGAATTACACTAGGATGTTTTGTTCTCACTCTGACATGGTCAGAATTAATTTGGAGATCCAGAAGAGGATTATTTTGTTGTTATTGTTGTTGCTTGGTTTTTGAATCTGAGTTACTTAATACAAGAATACAGAGGGAAATAGAAAACAAAACATATGTCTTAAGTCTGTCAAGTGGTATTGGAACATCCTCAGGTCATTCTTCAGGGTACTACTTTGTTGGTGTTTGAGGTGCACGTTCAAGCTGCTGGTGAACTTGTTGAGAAAAGGCCCCGATGATAGAAGGCAAGCTGTGGGCTGTGTCTGGGTGTCTGGAAGCATACCAGCAGAGCCTAAGAGATCATAATCATTTTTCTTCTTCCTCCTAGGTTTAATAGGAAAAACTTGCTTCCTGCAAACACCAGAAAAAACTGCCCTTGGAAACTGTTTCTTTGGCCAGCATGGAGCAGCTAGAACTTACACTGTGAGGCCCTTGATGGGACGAGCTCTCACCCCCTGATCAGCCAGAGTGATTGTCGCCATGGCCAGCAAGAGGAAATCCACCACCCCGTGCATGATCCCTGTGAAGACCGTGGTGCTGCAGGAGGCCAGTGCGGAGGCCCAGCCTGCCGAGGCATTACCCGAAGGCCCCCAGCAGGAGCTGCCCCCTGAAGTGCCTGCCGGCAGCAGCGAGACTGCCCAGATGTCCAGCAGTACCGATGGCCCCGCCCTGGCCAATGGGCACCGGAGCACTTTGGATGGCTATTCGTATTCCTGCAAATACTGTGATTTCAGAGCCCAGGACATAACCCAGTTTGTGGGACATATGAACTCAGAGCACACAGACTTTAATAAGGATCCAACTTTTGTATGCACTGAATGCAGTTTTCTGGCAAAAACTCCTGAGGGGCTTTCTCTGCACAATGCTAAGAGTCACTCGGGGGAAGCCAGCTTTGTGTGGAATGTGGCCAAGCCAGACAATCATGTGGTCGTGGAGCAGAGCGTCCCCGAGAGCACCTGTACTCCTGACCTATCGAGTGAGCCCAACGCCGAAGGGACCGACGGACAGGCCGAAATCATCATTACCAAAACTCCAATCATGAAGATAATGAAAGGCAAAGCTGAAGCCAAAAAAATTCATACGCTCAAGGAGAACATCCCCAGTCAGCCTGTGGGTGACACAGCCTTACCAAACCCACCGGCCGGGGAGACCGAGGCAAAAGAGGAGGACCACCCCTTTGTCAATGGGGCAGTCCCGGTCAGTCAGCCGGCCACCAACCCGGCCAAAGGGCCGCATGCGGCCAATGGGCCCCTGCTGGGAGCGGTGCCGGTTCTGCCGGCCGGCATAGCGCAGTTCCTCCCCCTGCAGCAGCCGCCCCCACTGCACGCCCAGCACCACGGCCACCAGCCGCTGCCCACATCCAAGTCCCTCCCCAAGGTGATGATCCCCCTCAGCAGCATTCCCACCTACAATGCGGCCATGGACTCCAACAGCTTTCTGAAGAACTCGTTCCACAAGTTCCCCTACCCAACCAAAGCTGAGCTCTGCTATTTGACTGTGGTCACCAAGTATCCAGAAGAGCAGCTCAAGATCTGGTTCACAGCCCAGAGGCTGAAGCAGGGCATCAGCTGGTCCCCTGAGGAGATTGAGGATGCCCGGAAAAAGATGTTCAATACGGTCATTCAGTCCGTACCCCAGCCCACAATCACCGTCCTCAACACGCCCCTGGTCGCCAACGCCGGCGGCGTCCAGCACCTCATCCAGGCCGCCCTCCCAGGCCACGTGGTAGGGCAGCCGGAGGGCACGGCGGGCGGCCTGCTGGTCACTCAGCCGCTGATGGCCAACGGGCTGCAGGCGCCCAGCTCGTCCCTGCCGCCCACCGTCACATCGGTGCCCAAGCAGCCCACCGTGGCACCCGTGAACACGGTGTGCTCCAACACCACGTCGGCGGTGAAGGTGGTCAACGCGGCCCAGTCGCTGCTCACGGCCTGCCCCAGCATCACCTCCCAAGCCTTCCTCGACGCCAGCATCTACAAGAACAAGAAGTCTCACGAACAGCTGTCTGCCCTGAAAGGAAGCTTCTGTCGGAACCAGTTCCCGGGGCAGAGCGAGGTGGAGCATCTGACCAAAGTGACCGGCCTCAGCACCAGAGAGGTGCGCAAGTGGTTCAGTGACCGCAGGTACCACTGCCGGAACCTGAAGGGCTCCAGGGCCGTGCTGCCCGGCGACCCCGGCGCCATCGTCATCGACCCTGGGCCCGAGGCGCCCTTCTCCCCGTCGTTGGCCAAGGCCCCCGAGGTGCCCTGCGTCCCGCCGGCCGCCACCCTGGCTGCCCCTCCTTCCACCAGACGCCAGGCCTGGCACCAGACCCCTGACTTCACGCCAACCAAGTACAAGGAGCGAGCCCCTGAGCAGCTCAGAGCCCTGGAGAGCAGTTTTGCACAAAACCCCCTTCCTCCCGATGAGGAGCTGGACCGCCTGAGGACTGAAACCAAGATGACCCGGAGAGAGATCGACAGTTGGTTCTCGGAGAGGCGGAAGAGAGTGAGCGCCGAGGACCCCAAGAGGGCCGACGAGGGCCCCGCCCCGGAGGAGGAGGAGGAGGAGGAGGAGGAGGAGGAGGCAGGAGAGGAGGAGCCAGGCGGGGGCCCGAGGGCCCCTGGGGAAGACGGCCCCCTGGAAGGGCTCGGCAGCCGTGCGCTGGCAGAGCGCAAGGTCAGCCCCATCAAAATTAACCTTAAGAACCTGCGTGTCACCGAGGCCAATGGGGCCAACGGCAGGAGCGAGCTCCCGGGGCCAGGGGCCTGCGAGCCTGAAGAGGATGGGCCCGGCCAGCCGGCCGAGCAGCCCCCCGGCAAAGCAAGCTGCAAGAAGACGGCCCAGCAGCGGCACCTGTTGCGCCAGCTCTTCGTACAGACGCGGTGGCCCAGCACCCAGGACTACGACGCCATCATGGCCCAGACCGGCCTGCCGCGGCCCGAGGTGGTGCGCTGGTTCGGGGACAGCAGATATGCCCTGAAGAACGGCCAGCTCAAGTGGTACGAAGACTATAAGCGGGGCAACTTCCCTCCAGGGCTGCTGGTCGTCACCCCTGGCAACCGGGAGCTGCTGCAGGACTATTACCTGACGCACAAGACGCTGCATGAGGTGGACCTGCAGAGCCTCTGCGACAAGACCCAGATGAGCTCCCAGCAGGTCAAGCAATGGTTTGCGGAGAAAATGGGCGAGGAGACCCGGGCTGTGGCGGACGCGGGCAGTGAGGACCAGGGCGCCGGCGAGCCTGCAGCCATTCACCAAGGGCTGGGGGATGCGTATTTGGAGGTGTCGGAAAACAGTGAGTCGTGGGAGCCTGGCGCCCCTGAGGCCAGCTCGGAGCCCTTTGATGCTCCGAGTCCCCAGGCTGGACTTCAGCTGGGTAAGGAGCCCACAGGGGCTGGGGCCAACCGCCGTGGGGAGGGCGGCGGGGGGGGGCCTGAGGGGCCGCGGGGGCAGCTGCTGTCCCTAAGCTCCCTGGCAGTGGGACCAAGTGGCTGGCTGCTCCAGGGGGCACCTGGCAGCAGAAGCCATTAAGGCATAATGGAATATGACCTACACTATGTGTTTCCTGTGTTGTTAGGGGAAGGAACATAGTGGGCCTACAAGGGTGCAAGCTTTTCTAGATATTTCTTAGCAGTGGGAGAATAGGTCAAAGCACCATCAGAGTCAGACAGAACCACAACCCCCCGGTAGGAGAGAGCAACAGGACTGCTGAGTAAATTCAACTCAGAATGGCAAGCAAAAGGAAAGAGGGGCTTGGGTTGCCTTTAGATGTGGCAAGTGCTTTTATTTAAATGGCGAAAGTCCTGTAATTTGCCTTTGTTGCTCTTTCTGGTTTGGAGAAATGGAAAGTCGTCTTCCCTGTTAGATATGTAATCAAAAGCTTGAGTTTTGTTCCTCGGTTTCTCTGGATCATATCCCTGGTATTAGCACTTGAAAGAAAACTTTAGAAGATAATTTATCGAAGATAGCTTTAAAGCCACAGACAAGTCACTTTGTCGGTATCGGGTCCTGACCCCCCGGGTTCCCAGCCTCCCCTTTCCCTCCCCGTCCTTGGGTGTTTGGCTCCTTAGAGGCCTCATCACAGCATGGCCAGGAGCCCATGCAAACTGAGCATCTGGATTCTCAGATTCTCCGATTTGGGGACCTTTAGAAGTTGGTTCTGGGGCCGATATTTCCTGACTTGACCTTGTTTTCCTCCATGACCCCCATGAATCAGTGAGGCCCTCACAGGCAGTGGTGGGCTCCAGGGAAACAGGATTGGCTTCGCAGGGCTGGTTGCCTCAGCACCTTCTCCAGCACTGGGCGTGCCCCTGGGGAATGCCCACCCCTGGCTTGCAGGCAACTAAAACAAATTTCTTTTTCTGTTTGTTTAAATTAAAATTTCGCTGAAGTATATTCTTGGGTAGCTGGAAATAGGGTGGTGGTTACACAACCTTGTGAATGTATTTAAAGCCATTTAATCGTACATTCAAAAATGGTTCAAATGGTAGCTTTTATGTTATGTATATTTTATCACAATTAAAAAGAAAAAAGCTAGGGCTGCCTGGATGGCTCAGTTGGCTGGGCGACTGCCTTCGGCTCAGGTCATGATCCTGGAGTCCCGGGATCGAGTCCCGCATCGGGCTCCCTGCTCGGCGGGGAGACTGCTTCTCCCTCTGACCCTCCCTCCTTTCATCTGCTCTCTCTCTCATTCTCTCTCCCTCAAATAAATAAAATCTTTAAAAAAAAGAAAAGAAAAAGCTAACCTGGAAGTGGGGCGAGTGGGTTTGAGTTACAAGCACTGGCCCCTCTGCTCCTAAATCCACCACTAGGCCAAGTGTGATGTCCCTGGCGGGACAGAGCAGGCGTGGCACTGTGGCCTCCCCCTCTTCTGCCTGAAGCAGATAACCCTTGGGTCCAGGAAGCGCTTGTCTGTGTGTCCGTACTTGGTTTCTCCATGGCCAGCCTCCATGCAAGGGCCAGGTCGGCAAGCGTCATGGACCATGGGCCTCTGAACAATCCCGTTGACGTTGAGCGCAGAGGTAGAGGCCATCAGTAGAAGGTAGACACTAGCCCCTGCCGCTGTGGTGTTAGAACATGGGTTCTGGAGAGCTGGTGGGGAAGGGCAGGATGGGGCAGTTGAGGACAGGGCTCCAGGCCAGCAGCGGCCTGGGCTTCGGCAGCACTGGGCGGCTGGAGGGTCTGCAGGCCTGGCCCAATGTAACCCGCACCCCGTTCTTACATGGCACGTCCTTCTTCCCGGTCCCTTGGGCTGCAGGATGGGCGAGGGGCTGGCAGGAAGGCAGGGCTCCTGGCAGTAAGAGGGCCCCAGAGCCAGTGCCCTAGCGTGGCGAGGACTGGGCTGCCTGGGGGACTGTACAGGTGTGGTGGCTGATGTGGAGGTGACAGGCCTGTGTTTTCTCCTCAGAAACAGACTGAATTTGAACTGATTCCTCCGAAGGACTGGCCAGTCCGGGATGCCGCCTGCCATGTGGAAGGGCTCAACCCGACTCTCCGCTGCCACGTGCTGTTCCCATGCTCGCTGCCGCTGCCACCGCCGCCGGCCGGGCACGCACGAGAGCTTCTGGAGGCCTCGCCGCCAGCCCAGAGCCCGCCGCCACCTCCGGCCTGCCACCACCGAGCGCGCCAGCAGGGAGAGTCGAGTGCTTGTCAGTTCTTCCTCCCACCACGTAGGACCTTTCCTTTGCCTTCCAGTGGATAAAATAGTTCAGATTTCATATTCATAGACACGGAATCAAGTTTTTAACCTATAAATCCTCCTATACACATTAAATAAAACATCAGATCATAAACACTTTCATTACATAGAAACTTTGGTTAGCCAGCAGTACATTGTCTTACATCATCTCTGAAAATGCCCTGTGTCTGTTCTCTGGAGATCATGGGGACTACATGTCCCCAGCACGCGCGGAACTGGGGCTGAAGCCCTAGACCCCCCCACCCCCCACCCCCTCAAGGAAGGCGGTACGTTTGCCGAGGCAGCTGCCCGCCTTGCCCTGCCCTGGGGGCGAATCAGCACTGGCGCCCGCCTGCAGTCTGGAAATGGACTGCTCACCTGATCGTGTTTGCTCACTGCGCTCTTAAGTGGTTCCAGCCATCCTGCTTGTTCGTGGGAGTTTGAATCATGGACCAGAACTTTTCAGTTATCAGGTCAACTTCAAGAAGTATTTGTTGTTAAGCCTGATGTACTGACCGATGTGCCCACGTTTTTGTTGTTGTTTTTCAATCTAGATGTTTTGAGAGTGAGAGGAAAATTGAGAAAAGGAACGCGCGGGGCTGAACGTAGAAGTACACGGCCCCAGTGTGTGGCTTTGGCCGCTGTGGTCTTCGGAGCCCTTACCCACACTCCCTTCAAGGCCGCCAGTGGTCTGGGAAGGAAGTCTCCCGCAGCTGGGAGTAAGAGCGAACGCTCTGGGATCTGGGGAGCCAGGAGTGGTCAGAGCTGGGGTGGTCCTCGGCACAGAGACACCCAGAGTGCTCATGGCCCCCGTGCCGAGGGCCTGGCTAGGTGCTGGGCATCGCTGGACAGGCCCTTGTGAAGATGTTTCTTAAGTTCTGCATTTATATCCCCAGATTTGGAAACAAGATCTCTGTCTACTTTAGCCTAATCCTCATACCATTTTTTTTTTTTTTAATTGAGAAAAATCACAGGAAAAGGTGCTTTTGAAACACTGGGAAACTTGCTTACAAAGCTGTACTACTTGGTAAATCCCTATTTCCCCCAAAACTGGCTGTTCTGAGAGCAGCAGGTGAAAGTGGGGCAGGCAGAAGTCATGTCCCCGGCAGCTCCGCTCACCTCCTGGAGACCACCTGCTTCCCCAGGCACTAAGGCCTTGTGAGCATGCTCCTCCTGGGCCCAGGCTGGGGGAGCAGCACAAAGCAACCCCAGAGAGAGGACAGGGGCTTCGGGCATGACAGACTGGTGGTAGGGTGGGCGCTGTCCTCCTCCCCAACCCCACCTAGGAAATGAACTGGGTGGGGCACCTTGCTGGCTTGGCTCCAAGGGCAAAGATGGTGGTGGCACCTCTGCCTTCCAGGAGAGGGCTTTCTCTGGAAACCAAAAGATCTTGAGCCCCTGTTCTTCTAAAGCGTCTTCTCCCACTCTCTCAGACCCAGTAGGGACCACCTCTGAGCTGTTTGAAACGTGACGTGTGAGTACTTGGCAAGTTCTGTGCCCTGTGTTTGTGTCCTTTCCATTTGAGTGTGAAGCTGTTTAGCCCCAAAGACCTCGTGGCAGAATTGCCAGTGGTGATTGCCTTCCTTCAGAGAACAGACACCTGGACTTTTTCGTTTAGGGTTTATGTACATGCAGATTAATTTATATATACACGTAGATACAGTACAGATAGTCATTTGATACTTTACTGAGAAAATGTCCACCTGAGGTATACACTTGAGGAAGCTCACGGCACAAGGCTGTTAGGGGAAGGAGCCTGTGTTGGAGGGAATGCCGGTACCCCGGGCGCAGCTGAGGCGGCCTGGCCGGAAACCATCTGAGTGTGGGAGACACCAGCCTGCAAGCCTCACTCCCAGAGCCCTGCACTGGCCAAAGGGCTTTAGAGAGGATTTTCTTGTTTATTTAATCTGTATTCATATTTCACTTACAACCCAAACAACAACACAAAAAATACATGGTGGACAAGTTCATGCAGGACATAACGACCCAGCCTCGGCACCAGCCTGTCTTTAGAAGGTGGGGAAGCTACAGGCCTGCCCGTCTGGGCATGTTTTCCTCTGTTAGCCCTGCCCACAAATGGCAAGGCTGCCCAGGTAAGGACCCCAGCAGACTAGACAGTCCCTCCTCCTTAACTGTGGTCTTGGACCGGAGCAAATAGTGGGTTTGAAGCCTCACGCTCACAAGAACCACGGTCAGAGGTGATGGCAAGAGAGAGCTGGGTCAGCGAGCCAGTGCCCAGGGCTCTGGGTGCTTGGGGGAACACAGCTAACCTGGCGCAGAGACCCACACCGGCCCGGAATGCATGGGGGTGCGGCACTGCAGCATCCGCCCTGTGTCCTGTGACAGGACAGATCACCGTGGTTTTGCACGCCCTCAGAGGGTGTTTGTGATGTTGCCTCCAGCAGGTCCGTGGGCTGCAGAATTGAGACGTGGGGTTAGTCTCTCCCGAAGGAAAGCCTCGTGTATAAGGTGACTCATCTTTGCCCCTCTTCTCTGTATGCACTCGGACTCGTCAGAGATCGTAAAATATTTCAGTGTTTCTTGTCGCCTATGTCAGGCACATGTTTGGTTTATTCTATTTTTTACATGGGGTTGTAGATTCAGTTGTAGTAGTTGAAACCAGATCATCATTCTGATAAAGGAAAGCTGGATTCATGATACATATACCTTGCATATTTTGATTACTTATTTTAATTCTTGACTATGAAGGAGCTTTTTGATTTGAGAGGAGAGTTCTCATTTTCAGGAGTCTCAGGTTCCTGAAATAGAGCACCCTGGTTGGATGGCCCTGTTGGCATTTGGGGTTTGGTAGCGCCATGTGACTTAGGGCTCCTGGCCTGGCCGAGTGACTGGCAGCTGTCTCGGTGGACCAGAGCGCCTCGACCGGAGGCCCTGCTCCCTGTTCTCCAGAAGCACGGGTGTGGGAGCTGGGCAGTGTTGGCCCGTAGCTTGTGGGCTCCCATGTGCACAGACGGTGGTGGCCCTGCTGGCCGTGGGAGGCTGTCCCACCAGGAAGTTTCAGCGTGCTTTCCAGGCTGAGATGTGGCTCTTCATCCTGCTCAGTTGGTGGCTCAGTGACAGGTCCTGTGTCCCCTCCCTGTCCCTTCTGGCTCTGGGACATCTGTGTCAGGCTGCCTTCCGTGGAGGCTGGGTGCTCGCGTCCTCTGCACCTCCTCCCGCGGCTCCTGGCTGGGCTGCCTGGTCTCCCTCCCTGTAAGCCCTTTGCCGTTGGTGCAGCTTTTGTCAGTGTAAACCTCACAGCCCCAGTGGATAAAGGCGCTTTGTAGGAGAGGAGAACCGGCCAAGAAGAAAGCGTCAAACCAAACCAAACCTGGATTTGGGCTTTTTCTAATTTTTCCCCCTTTTTCCTTGCTCAGCGTTTATCTGGGGCAGGTTATTGGTTTGACACACACCTTTTGTATTAAGTTTAAATTTTCCTTTATCCCATCGATGTGCAAAGCTCAGATGCTGGAGAAGACCCTGTAGATGGGTAAGGATCCACTGAACGAACTTCCAGGCCAGAGCTAGTAGCTGCCTGGGCCGGGAGGCTAACAGGCTGGGCTCTCCTTGCTCCCGTCTGGAGCCCCGTCTCCAGGGCTCCGGACACAGCTTCCTTTGTTCTCTTTCCTGAGGAGCCCAGGCCCGCCCAGCCTTCCTGCGCAGACCTCGGGGGCCATCTCTGCGTGGCTGGGGGAGCACCTGCCCTGAGAAAGCAGGGAGTGGGGAGCCCGAACCTTCCTCTGAATGGTCCCCGCCCCCAGCCCGGCTTCGGTCTGAGGTAGCCATCATTCTGTTTCTCTGGCCATTTCTAACAGCCAAGCTGTGCAACATCAGGGCTGAGGAGGCCGGAGGCAACTTCTCATCAAAGTGACGAGTTTTGATTTGGGCCGAGTGACCGTGGAAGTGACGACCGTGGGTGCTGCTTGGCTGGCTGCCCAGCCCAGCTCTACGTCCAGGTGGAACAGAGAGGCCTCGGATGGAGTTTGTTTCTGCCCCAGCCTGTGTGGTGTTCCTGGCACCAGGTCGTCCTGGGAAGGGGGTTCTCTGAGCTGACCCAGCAAGTGCACGCTGGAGTGAGGTAAAGGGCTCAGAGCATTTGGTCCTGGGGGTGGTCCAGAGCCTGCTTTTCTGTCTTGCAGTCCTGAGTGCACTCGTCAAGACTGGCCGCTAACCTGGCCACTCCTTTGAACGGGGTCCCAGTCCTTCACCAGACTCGAGACCTGACAACCTGGAGCCGGCAGGAAGCAGCCATTCTATCTGCTGAAGTCCAGAGCAGGGGCGGAAACCCCGGTGTCTGGCACGGATCGGCAGGCCCCGGTCACCACATGGACACGGTGGCAGCAAGCCCCTGCGGCCGTTGATTTTTAAAAACCCTATCTTTTGGTCGGCAGGACTGCCAGGATCCACAAAGAACACGTGGCTCCCGCTTTGCCGTCCCCAGCCCCGAGGCTTCCGCAGCCCTCAGAACCTGGCCCTTGTGGCTCCTCAGGCCAGAGCGAGAGGGAGAGGTGAGCACAGCGAGCAGGGCTTTTCAGAGGTGGTGGTCTTCTCTTCTGCTGGGTGTCTTTCCTGCTGTCCACTGGGGGGCAGGTGGCAAGCCAGGGTGCCTGAGAGTCTGAGTGGTGACCTGCCGTCGGTGCCTCTTCGGAGCCGGGCTGTGCCGCGCGTGCACACCTGAGCACTTGAGTGTTAGTGGCTTTTCTTGGCTAATGCTCCATAACTGCTCTTCCTTTCCACGATAAATGGGTGATTTAGAAGTCTTTCGAGTCTTTGGCTGGAGCCGAAGGTGAATCGTCCAGGGTAGAGGCTGTTCGGAGTCACTGAATATAGAAAGCTGCCAGTGTGTGGTCTTTCCCGAGGGTCAAACCCCAGAGTAGATACACTGGTGGAGGGTAACCATCTACCCCCATGGTAGCTGTTCTGTAATTTGTGTTTCAAGAGAGATTGTCACTCATCCTTGGTTCCTGCCCATACAGAGGGCTCATTCTGGCAGTTTGCTTGAAACGCTGGCTGGGCGGGAGCCC